ACTACATGAATGATTTTTTGGATATTAAATAAATCCTCCATTCCTTGGGTAAATTTGGTGACGAGACCTAATCATTTGCATATGTTCCTAGATTGAGCTTGCTAGTGTCTGGTTGAGGATTTCTATGCTTATACTTATAAAGATTATTGTTTTGCAATTTTCCTTATTTTGTGATACCTTTGGTTTTGATTTCAGGCTAATGCAGTGGTACATCAGTTCAAAAACTTTAAATCGCTCCATGATTCTGGGGGAAATGGCCAATTTCACGTTGGTGCAAAATAAATGGCCATGGTCGTGTTGTCACTTGATGCAAAGTGTGCAAACAAAGACAAAATATTGTCAAACACTTCTGTTTGTGTTTGTGAACCGAGGTGCCACTGAACTGATGTGAAAGACTAAGTTTGGAAGTAGTTTTTCCTTTTCTTCTAGATTTTAGAACAGGTTAGACAAGGTTAGTGTAAAGTCTTTCTGAAACATTTGATACCATGCACCAAGGATGTGTTTTGGGAAATATTTTACCTTGGGAAATATTTTAAATTTAATATTCTATTCCATTAATGGTTATGGGTATATTTGAGTAAAATGCGCTTTTCTTGAATAAGGTTTCATAGTTGTGTCTTTTAGGGATTTGTTCATTTCACGTAAATTGTTAAATTCATTGGCATACATTGTTCATACATTTTCTTATTTGTTATTTGGAGACTCTAGTGAGGTCACCTTTTTTTCCTACCGATGGTTACTTGTCTTTTACAATGTTTTTTCTCATCAGTCTACCTAGAAGCTTATCAGTTTTACTGTCCTCCCAATCATCTTGGTTTCACTGATTTTCTCTATATTTTTGCTATTTTCCATTTGATCCTGCTTTGATCTTTATTTCCTCTCTATTTTGTTTGCATTTACTGTGCTTTTCCATTTGTAGATTCCAAAGTGGAAGACAAGGCTGTTGATTTAAGGCCTTTTTTCTTTCAAATATAAGTGCTTTAGTACTATAAATTTTCTTGTAATTCCTGCTTTGGTAGACATGACTTGTACTGTGGGGTGTTTTTTCAATTTTAAAAGATTATATTACAGCTTGATTTTGATTTGCACATTGTTTCATGTTACTTAAGAGTGTATTAATTCATCTTAAAATATCGAGGATTTTCCAGATATATATTCTTTATTTATTATAGATTTAATTCCACCGTGGCCAGAGAGCAAAGTCTGCATAACGCTATTTCTAAGTTTATTGAGACTTGATTTGTAACCCAGGATGTTCTCTATCTCGATAAACATCCCATATTCACTTGAAGAGAATGTATACACTGATGTTACTGAGATTATTCTGTGACTGTTAGAAAAATTTAATTAAAAGTATAATTCAAAGTTGCTACATCTCTGAAGATTTTCTGTCTACTTGATTTTTCATTCATTGAGCTAAATGTATTGGAATCTCTGATTATGCTTGTGGACATATACTTATATTTCTCCCCATAGTTATAGCACTTTCTTTCATAGTTTGATGCTCTGCTATTAGTGGCATTAAAAGTTAGGATATTTAGGTCCTTTGATTAATTGACAACTTTATTATTATAGAAGGAATTCTGTTATGAATTAAAAACTAGTGGTCAACCTAACACCATCTGGATTACATCAGCATGGTGCTGAGCATAGATGTTCCACCTGAGGAAAGTTGCCAGCATAAATAAAGACGGGGAGAAGGAGAATGGAGGTGTTGTGGGTTCTCCTGCGTGTTGCTGTTTGAGCCACTGGTTCTCCTGGAGGAGCTTGTCACGACTAGCTTCCCCAGTGTGAGTTTGACCACTGTCATCAGAGAAGCTCACCTTATTGGTGAGGGCGGCTGTGGTTCACTTTGGGGGAGCTCTGGGCCTTACATTGAGCATTGCTTTCTAGCTCCAGAGGGGAAGATGTGTGCTGTGTAATTGCCAGGAGAAACTTGTCACGCTGGCTTTCTGGCATGTACTCAACTGTTGTTATTGTTGGAGGAGCTTGGGGCCTCCGTGTTGCTGAGGATGGCTGTGGTGCTTTTCAGGGAAGCCCTGATCCTTGAGTGTAACTCCTTGGCTCCAATGTAGAAGCCTCAACCTACCAGCACATCTCCTTCACCCCACTGGCATAGAGTTTCTAGCTTCCACCACTGACCTTTGGGTCTTCCCAGCACAAATCCATAAAACAGACTGGCGTGAGTCCTTCTTGTGGGCTCTAGACCTCCAGCTGGACTCCTGAGAGGCAAGACTCCTGGCCTCTGGGTCTTCATCTGAGCATTGCTGTGAGATCCAGGCCCTTGGCTGAATATTCTATGTCTTTAGTATTGTGGACAGATTTCTTGCACTTTGTGTTAGCTCTGGGTGACCATCATAAAATATTATAAATTCTGTGTCCTGATTCTAATTTTTCTCTTCACAAGCCCTGACTACAACAAATTCTTTAATTCTCAATGATATTTTCTGTTCCGAAATACATTTTGTCTCATATTAATGTAGCCAGTGTGGTCTGTAGCTAAGCTATCAGGACAAAAGTCTGAATGAGCGATCCTCAGCCTAGGGAGGTAAATGGACTGAATTTGATCTTGAAGTATTTTCTTCATGACACCAGCAGCTTTTTATAGGTGCTCACAGAGAAGAATTCCACCTGTATCCATCCATTAAGGTAAAGGAACTGAGGAAAATGCAAGTAAATAGTTGCTAAGAGACTCGGCATTAGGCTTAGATAAAAACAAGTGCCTGGTGGATAAAGGCACATACATGTGGAGGATAGCTTTTCATTTACAGCACAAGTCTCTAAGCCAGGGTCTTTCCTAGGACCAATGCATGAAAATAAAATCAGTCTCTTATTGAGGAGACTGGGCGTGTGTGTGCATGGGCACGCATGCATGCATGTTCTCTGGTGGTGGAAAGATGGGAAGGCGGGAGGTGGATGAGTGAGAAGGGAGGGAGGGGGGGAGGTGTGTCAGAGTGACAGGCCTCCGGGGGCAAAGTGTGCCAGATAATTTCTTGCTTAACAGTTCATACCCCAGGCAAGGAAAGGATGCTGTTTCTGTGTGTGGCTGCATGCTCTTGTACCTAGCTGGGGACGGATGTGACATATGGGTTGGCGGTATCACTCCCAGCCAAAACACACACCAGAGTTCCCTCCCCACCTAACCGGGAGTGGTATTTCTTATAGTACTGGTAGAATGTGGGCACAGTTCCTGGCACATAGGTAGTTATTCACTAGCAGCTGGTTCAAAGATGACCTTGACTCCAGATGCTACCATGTTTTTTCTGGAAAATTCCTCTATGTTTCCCAGGGAAGCTGCAGTTCAAGAGGACATTGAATAGAAAATTAGGCTAAAGCGCTACTCAGCAAATGTTTCCTCCAATACATCTGGAGGAAATGGGATGTATTGGTTTATTTGATGTATGGAAGTTTTCCTTGCTGGTGATAAGTAATTCAAAGCACCTAGGACGTCAGATAAGAGCACCTCTTACCTCCCAGGCAGTTCAAGTTTTCACTGGAACTGCTGCTTTCCATCCTCTCACCTCCACCAAGAGTCTAGCCTTGGGCCTCACAAGGTCTCTGTGACAACAGGGCCTAAAACACTGGCCATTCTAAGACCCAGGCACCTCAAGAAAGATTCAGTTCCTTGAACTTCCAAGCAAAGCTCACATACCCTGACACCAGCATCAACTTCTTTCACAGAGGAAAGGGTTGAAGCAATTTCTGGAGAAGTCATGCATTGAATTTTAACATTTCTCTTTATTTCTCAACTGCATTTCACTTAAGGTTCATGGTGAGTGAAGTTATAGACAGAGAAGGCTCGCTGGAGGGAGCACCCTTATTCAGGCAGTCATCTGGCCACTTGTGTGCCTGGTGTACACAAGGTACTAGATCCTGAAGGCTAGCTGCTAAGAATGTTCACGCACACTGGGCCATAAGGGAGATGTGGCTCTTGGTGGGGGGCAGTCCATTGGGCCATTGAAAGGCTTTGAAAGTGGACACTCCCAGCAGAGAACAGAGCACCTGGCCAGGGACTTTAGGGTCTCACGTCACCTCAGAGTCACCCTTTCTCAGGAAATCCTTGCAGAGGCTGGGGATAAGTCCCGTGGTTCATACCCTGCATATGCCCACACTTATCTCAGCTGTGCCAGGAGAGGATTCCTCTGAGCCTCACCCACCACCTCAAAGTGCTGCTCAGGGCAGTCTTCCATCTGCTCAGGCCCTAGACTCCTCCTCTGAGGGTCTGACCCTGGCCACCTTGTGGCTGCATCAAATAAACTCTTGTGAAATAAACAGAAGTTTCCCCACCCCCCAAGATTCCCAAGTTCAGCGCTAAGCCTTGGCTGCTCTCTTGTTCTTCTTTACATTCTTGACTTCACTCTGCAACACGCTCACAGGGTGGCTATCACTAAATTTCACCACTCCTGGCCGTGTGGGTCCTGCTGAACTTAAGTTTCCCCGCGCCTCCACCACGGATGCAGGGCTTTCCACAGCACACACAGGCAGTGGAGGTTTGGGGGTCCACAGGCCACTGAAAAAAATAGGCTTCTTTATTTAAAGTTTTGTAATATAATTGAAGAAACAAAAAAATTCCTGGAGAAGTCATGAACTGAATTTTAACATTTCTCTTTATTTCTCAACTGCATTTCACTTAACACGTTTACAAATTTCCAAGGCAATTTCCACTCCAGTGCTATGGTATCCTGCTTCTTATCAGAAAAATAGTGAAAGGTTTTCTAGTTGGTTTACAAAACAGCAAAGGCTTACAAAACAGCAAAGTATTGAAAAGGAAAAACAAAATCTATCTTTGCTCAATGTGAAAGGAAATCACAATTTCATCAAAACTCAGGCAACAGTGTAACAAAAGGAAAAACAGATGTGACATAAATGTCATTTTTAAGATTACACATGCAAGCTCCTGCAGTTTTCATGAAGAAAACAAACACCAATTTCCAAGTAACGCATAAAGAATGAACATCAAGAAGGTATGCCCCGCATTCCCCCTCCCACCCCGGCTCTTCCCTACTGAGCAGGCTACTCTCCTCTAACACAGACTACAGAATGGGCAGCACTGCACATGGACAGAGGCTGAGTAGGTGACATGGCTTGTGAACATGTCCCGCCCCTGTCTACACTTTGCACCCTTAGCAGCCCATACGTCGTCCATGGGCAGCCTCTTGCTGCTCTCTTAAAGCATCCTCATACAGACTTGGATAGGACCAAGGGTCTCGATTATTGACCTTGGCCAAATGCTCCAGGACTTTCATCTTGGTGGTTTCAGCATAGGTCCTTGGACCCCACAGAAACTCATAGCGAGCAGGATTGCTGTCAGGTATCTGATGATACACTACATATCCTTCCTGAACCAAATCCTCAGTGATAAATTTCCTGGGCTCCCCATAGACATAGTGCTCTACCCCATCAAACACCTGCATTCTATTAAGAGTGAGCCACACAGTCTCCTCACTGGCACGGTTACCCCTTCTGAAGATGATGCTGATAATCATTACCAAGAGGCCGGTTTTGGCAATGCTGTGGTCTTCACCCACTATCTCATTATAGGTGAGACCCAGGACAGGGACCAGGGAATATATGTGCCCAGGTGGATCCAATTCCTTCACATCAATGCCAAAGACCATGTACAAGCAATCACAGACTTTGGTAAAGATCAGAGTGAAGTGCTCCTTGTGATCCTTCATGAAACTGTGCAGCATTTCTGCCCTGGTGGTCAGCTCCTTATTGCTATACTTGTATAGCAGGAACTCCACCATTTCATCTATTTTCATATGTAGGACATCAATGGGCAGGGGCAGAGGAGCTTCTTGCTCCTGCGAGGCACGTGGACGTGCCTCACGAGCCCTGTTCACACCCTGACGGGTTGAGCTCCTTTGTCTGAGGGCCATGACAGTGGAGGGGAGAAGATATCCTGAGAAACCTGAGGCCCCTTTGGTGGGGAGCCTTGGAGTCGAGCAGAGCAGGAAGAGGATGCAGAGGAAGCAGTGGCTGCTGCTCACTCTACTCCGACTGAGAACAGGCACACCCGCTGGGCTTCGTGTCTCTATTGAGGCCAGGCCACCTCCCTAGCTTGAAGCGCGGGCTGTCCTTGTGATGAAGGAGTTCTCAGGTTGCTCGGGGACAGCAAGAGCTCGAGACCAGGACTCAGGATCCTGGAGGAGACAGGAAGACCATGAGCGTTCTCAGCCGACGGCCCTCTCTCCTTGGCTTCCACCAAGGCCAATTACAGGTCTTGCTTTGAGTGCTGCCCTGGGACTTCACAGGCTCCCGTCCTCCCGGAGGGTCTGCCCCCAAGTCCCCGGGACAGGAAGGGAGGCTGTGGGTGAACTGCAGAGGACAGACTCTGGGGCAGTCAGCACAGCACGTGGAGCCCCATACCATGAGGAGTCCCCGCTCTGGGACATGTGGCCCCTCAGTACAAATGAGTCAGTGCCTCACCTGGACTCCTGATGCCGCCGGGCCTCCTCTGCTGCTGTGAGCTGTGGACACGGCTGTTACACCCCTGCTTCCTGGAGCTCCTGGAAGAGGCAGGGAAGAAGCCTTCCTGCAAACTGCAGCATGGTTCTAGGGCTCCCCCAGACCTCACAGGAAGGGCAGGCTGGACACTGAGCTCCCAACTTGTGGTATTTTCTCTGCTCAAAGCCCCTCCCCACCCCTCTACAGGTCCAAGGCAAAATCTCAGGAAAAAGTGTCTTCTTTCCTGATAGGAAACAAAAGGCATCAGGGTCTCACAGGGGCCAGGACGGCCCGGAGCCCACAGGTGGAAGGAGACAAATTCACGTGATCTAGGGAAGGGAAGGTGCTCCATCCTTATCTCCAAGAATGGTTGGGTCTGGGGCTCTCCCTGGGATGATCTGGGCCCATGTTCAAAGAGAAAGTAGAGGAATGCAAGTCTGCCTGTGTCCCCTGGGTCTGACAACAGGTAACAAAGGGTCAAGTAGAGGTTAGGCTGCTGTGTGTCCAGGACACCCACCCAGGAGAGAAGCCTCAGGCTCGGAGCCCTGCTCAGGTTGCCCGAGATGGTTGGGGGCTCAGGCAGCTGTGTGTGCAGCACCCAGCATCCAGGTAGGCTGCCCGGGTGGTCCTCGCTGGGACCTTGGCAGGCCCTGGACCCACGGGTCTGCTAGGCAGATGGGCTCCCTGTGCCAACCTGCAGACATCCCCCAGATCAAGTCCTGCACCACCCTGAGATCCCCGGGATTCTGTAAGAAGTGAGCAGGTGCCCCTCCGTCACCCACACATGGGGACAGCAGTGCTGCCAGCAGGGCCTGTGCCTGGCTCTCCTGTGATCCAGAGCTCCTGTTATGGTTTAGTCTCAATTTCCCCCAAAGTCCCATGCGATCAGAGCCAGGACCCTGGTGACAAGCCTGGGTTATGAGGGCTTTTAGCTGACTTGCTGTTAGGAGCTGGGGCCTGGTAGAAGGGCAGGGTCACAGTGGCTGTGACAGGAAGGGTTATGTCTCCCTTCCTGGCCTGTCCCCGCCTGGAAGAGCTGTGGTGGGCTGCCTTTCTCCCACCAGGCCCACACACCACGCCGCTATGCCTTGGAGCTGCCCACTATCACTGAACTCCACTTGTGAGCCCAAATCAATGTTTCCTCCTTTAAAGTGCAGGTGACAGGTATTGGGTCTCAGCAATGAGATCCTCAGAAAACCCTGAGGTGCTTCTGCAGTTTCTCCATCTTCCTGCTATTGGGCCGACCTTCCCTGACCCTCATTCCCCCCAAGACTCCCAGGCTTCCTGCCTGCTGGGAGCAGAAGTGAGCTCTCCACTTGGGGCCTCCCAGGGCTGACCCCTGGAATGGGGAATGGAAGCTGCTGAGGATTCGCAGGTTCTGGGCTGCGACACACTCAGGCCTCAGGAAGGGTCCATAGCTTGGGTCTGGCAGCCGCTGGGGTCCTCCGTCTGCTGACCACATGGAGCTCCCTCTGCTGCCCTGTGGACCCTCTTGGACCAAGGTCCTCCCCTCTCTAGGTTCTCTCCCCCGCCCCCAAACACTTGGCGGAAATGAGAACAGTCCTGAGGCAGCCCCCCTTCTGGACCCCAGCTTGCTGAAAGGAAGCCAGGAGCTCTGGCAGCGGGGTCTATTCTCATCAGGGGTGTGGGGTAAAGTCATACCTGCAGTCTTGGGAAACAGAAGAGTGGGGAGCAGCTCCGATTCAGCCTTTCTGATACTCGGAACGCAGACTCTGGAAAATAAAAGTTTGAGGAAGACAAAAAAAAAAAAAAAAAAAAAAAAGATTCCTAGGATGCAGGCAAGGACCCACACAAGAATTGCAAACCCCAGAGCAGCCGAAGGACAGATGAGGTGGAGAGGAGAGTGAAGCTGTCTAGACTCTGTCCCTGGCCCCTGGCTTGCTAGAGAGGAAATGGAATGTGGAGAAAGAACCAAGGGAAACCTGGGGACTCCAGGCGGCGCTTCAGGGGACAGGCATTGCTGTGATCTTCAGGGATGGCAGGGAGCTCTGCTCCCAGAGTCTTCACACAGGCACAGTGGGGGAGTGACCCTTGTGCGGGGGAGTGACCCTTGTGCGGGTGCCTGACAAGTCTGCTGTGAGAACGTGGCCTTGGGTGCCCAATCCAGGAACACGCTGTGAGTTTAACTCTGGGAGTCAGGAGCCACAGAATAGGTTGGCTTCAGTGTTCCCAGTGTTACCCTCCCACAGGGAGAGCGCAGGACAGAGACAGCCAAGGGGACTGGCTTTGGCCTCAGCTGGGAGGGGCACAGGGCCTGCCCCCTGGCAGAGGCCAGGCCCAGCCTGAGTTGCTCTGGACCCCGGTCTCACTCAGCCTTGGATATTGAAGCCCATGCCCTTCTGCCTGCCTCCAGCGGGGATCAGGGGTGTGGCTGCCCACCTTATCCTCCAGTGTGACCAGGGCCGGCCTTGACTTGGACACTGCCACAGCCCGGGACAAGCAGCAGGCTGCCTCTGAGAGCCTGGAGAAGTGTTAGACTCAAACAGTTAGCCTCCTGGGAGGAAAGCGTTCATTCACACCCCCAGAGAGATGTTTTCTCTGTTCTCCTTTTTCCCAGTCCTGCTTTTAACCTCTTTTATCGACTTGCCTTGCTTCTTCCTTTTTAATATTTTCCATTATGTTTGTTACTTTTATTCTCTATATGATTTCTTTTTTAAATTCTCCATATAATTTCATTTCACTTCTTCCTTTTTTGCCTTGGCTTCTATTTCTTGGCCCTGTTGATTGTTTGCCTTTGCCCAGCCCCCTACCGGCCTTCAGGTGCATAAAGGGGTCCTGTGCTCCCCTTTTCTCCCCTCTCTCTCACATCCTGTGGATTAAGATTTCGAGCTTTCATCATCCCTTCTGCCTTTCCCAGCCCCTGGTATTTTCAATAGCATAATAATTAAGCTTCATTAATTTCTAGGTAATTAACTCTATAAAGTTATCCCTGCACGTTTTTTCAAGCCCTAGAGGAGCTACAGTGGCTGTGTGTAGTGCACACAGGCTGTTGGTTATGGATCGGTTGTCTTACTATTTCTGCTGTAATTGTGGATTTCTGTTGTGGGTACAGGTGGCACCTAATTGGCTCTCTTTCCATGTTAATATCTGACCCTTCCTGGCTGGTACTACTGTAGCCGAGTTGCTTGGCATTGCCAGGATCACTTAATTGTATGCCAGTGCGCAGATCGCCTCTGTGAAATGAGCAGAACTGGGGCCCCTTCCCTGTGGATTCGGTGTTGGGCCCATAGCCCTGCAGCCTCTCCCCCAAATTCACAAGGGTGGTCAGATCTGCGGAAGAGGTAAAGGACGGTGGTTAGCTAAGCCCAAAGTACATCCCTGAGAAGCAGACTGACTATGCTGATCTCTTTACTAGCGGCAAAGATTGTGCACTACAAGCGCTACAGATTGTAGCACAGAAGCGACAGCAATAGAAACAGGAGACGGCAAGGCAACAAAAAGACCCTCAGCCTCCCCGCTGCTTCGAAGCCAGTCCAGGGGCAGCAAGGGGGAGAAGAAGCATAGGCCAACATGTGAAATTCCCATGGATACTAGAGCAGGTTAGAAATAAAATCGAGGAGATGCTGCATGTGATCAGAGGCTATAACTAAAGAGCAAACCAAAATAATCCAGAAAATCCACTAAAGAAAGGCACCTGAGCTGAAAGAAATCGTACAAGGTTGAATGATCAGTTTAGTGAAGAATTACAATCCATGCAAAGGTTTCACTTGCAAATCCAGATTAAAATCTGCATTGGATATATGAGCAGCAGAAGGAGCCTGAGTGGACAGAACATGAGAGTAAGAATCAGGGACGCTTTTAAAGGCCACCTACTCCAAGACACCTTAAAGCTGCAAGAAAACCTGAAATATTGCTGTATTTGCTTTGAAGTGATGCAATGATACTAATCTAAGATTACTAACCGATCAAGTGAAAACAGAAAATGACAGGAACAATTGTTTACAGATAAAAATAGCAGAATACTTCCCAAATATATGGCAAAAAATAAACAGAGAAAGTGTGGTATATGGAACTCCAAATGGCTAAAAAACCAAAAGAGAACCTCTCCAGGTAATATAATTCTCAACACTCTAGGGTCCTTATACAGGTAAATGCACTGCCGTAACTCCAGAACTCTCAATTCAAACATTCAGCACCAGGAGGCCTTGAAGTTAAGTGTCTCAAGCACTACACCATCCCAGTTTCTAATCCCAAATTATACCTTCTGAGATTGCCAGAGACATATTACTCCCATGAAAAGGAATATCTAAAGAAATTCATGACCACCAAAACAGCATTACAAAAAATTATCAAGGATAGTCTAGAAAGAGACAGTGAAGCCAATCAGTACCAGTAAGTCAGATAGAATGAATTCACCTGACAAGATAAGTAGCTAAGCAGAAGGAAAAAAAATAAAACTATCAGGAAATCCCCCACAGGACTAATGCAATGACAGGAAGATGTCAGTTCTTTTCAGTAATAACTCTCAGTGGAGCAGACTGAATTCCCGATTCAAAAGACGCGGATTGGCAGACTGTATCACGAAACAAGACCCAGTGTTATACAGTAGAAAGCAAACACATTTAATTCAAAAGGAAATTCACAAATTATAAATCAACAAATGGAAAACAATATTCCATGCAATGAGAAACTGTAAAAAAAAAAAACAGTAGCTGTCATAATTTTAGAAGAAGTAGATTTCAAACCAAAACTAATCCAAATAGGCAAACAAGCCCACCATGTACATATTCATGAGCAATTAAAAAAGGTGAGGTAAGAATTACAAACATGGGGGCTGGGGATTTAGCTCAGCAGCATAAGCGCCTGCCTTGCAAGCAAGGCAGTCATGAATTCGATCCCCGGTACTGATAAAAAGGGAAAAGACAAAAAAAAAAGAATTACAAACATACATGTACCAAAACCTGGTGCACCCAATTTCATAAAACAAACAGTAACCGACATAAACAACTGCATACAAGAAATTAATAATATGGGATCTCAGTGCCCTACAGTCACAAATAGATGAACTAGACCAAAACCACAATGAACTATTAGAGTTGAACCCAAACTTCAGACCCGTGTACTTTATAGCGACTAAGAGTCACATAGCCACCAACAGAATACTTGTTCCTTTCAGCACCACATGAGACTCCATCCAATACATGTCACATGCTCGTACATAAAGCAGGCTTAAATCATGCAGATCAAAATTATTCCATGCAAATTATCAGATCTTAGTGAACTGAAACTAGAAATCAATGGAAAAAGAAACCACAGAAACTTTGAAAACATACGGAAGTTAAACAATACCATCTTGAATAATCAATGTCATGGGAGAAATCAAGCAAGAAATTAAGACGCTTTGTAGACTCAAACAATAATATGAGTACAACATACTGGCCCACAGTGAAAGTTGTCTGAATAAGCAAGCTTACAGTGATGAATGCCCACATCAGATAAACAGAGCAAGCATAAATAAATACCTGATGATACAACAAGCTCCTAGAAAAATAAGAACAATCCAAATCCAAAGTTAGTATGGGAAAGGAAATTACAAAGATCAGAGTTGAAATTGAGTTTGAGATAGAAAAATAAAAAGGACCAAAATGAGGTAGGTGTGCTAGCGCACAGCTGTAATCCTGGCACTCAGGGGGCTGAGGCAAGAGGATTTCTGTAAGGTCAGCCTAAGCTACAAAGTCAGTTCAAGGACAACCTGAACTGCATAGTGAAAAAAAAAAAAAAATGACGAATTGAAGTTGATTGAAGTTGGTTCTTGAAAGAATAAACAAAATTGACAAAAATTCTAGCCAATTTTCCCAAAAAAGGAAAGGGAAGACCCAACAACTCTGTGCAATTATACGTGAAAAAAAAAAAAAAAACAAAAAAAAACAACAACAAAAAAAACACCTCACAATGGATTCTGCTGAAATCCCAAAATATCATTGTTAAATATTATGAGAATCTGGCCTCTCATAAAATTGGCAATTTGAAAGCAATGTATAAATTCCTAGACACATGAACTACACAGGTTGAACCAAGGAGATATGAAAATTCTGAATAATATCATACCAGCCAATGAAACTGAAGAAGTAATAAAAAGTTACCAACCAAGAAAAGCCCAGATACTGATGGACTGATTACTGAATTCTACAAGAACTTTAGAGAGAGCTTATGCAAACACTCCTCGAAATCTTTAATAAAATGGAAAGAGAAGCTGAACTCCCAATGTCATTTCTGGAAGTAGGCATTAACTCAAACTCAAAAGCAGAAAAGGACACAACCAAACAAAAACAAAAACATCAAATAGTAAATACAAAAAAGCCAAATAAAAAAGCCAAACTCTTTAAGGGACACAGATGAAGCAGCCTTCAATAAGGTACTGGCAAAAAGAATGAAAGAAATCATCAGAAAGATCATGCATTATGACCAAACAGAATTTGATCTGGGCATACACGGATATTTCATCTTGGGCAAATCAATACACACAATACGTCATGTAAATAGATGCACTGACATAAATCACATGGGCATACCAACAGACACAGGAAAACCATTGAACAGATGCAGTATCCTTTCATGACAAAACCCTGAAGAAAACAGGCAGAGAGAAGAAAATTCTTTCAAGCTCATCAGAGTCATCTGGGACAAACCAACGGGCAATATCATAATAAATGGGTACAAGTTGAAAGCTGTCCCTCTGAGATCAGGAACAAGGTAAGGGTGTCCAATGTCACCACTCCTGTCCAATGTAGTTCTGAAAACATTAGCCAGAACAATGAGACGGAAAACAGAAATGAAAAGGATGTATATAGGGAAGGAAGAAGTTAAATTATCATTATTTGAAGATGACATGATTCTCTACATAGAAGACTCAAAACTCCACCATAAGTGTCCTAACACTAAGAACCAAATTTAGCAGTGTAGCAGTATAGAAATTCAGTACACGAAAATCAACAGTGTTCCTGTATACCAATAACAATCTCACCGAGGAAGAAATTAGTGGGACAATACTTTTTTTTTTTCAATTTCCCAACTTTATTAATCGGTAT